TTTTTAGCACTTCCTTATGTTATGCTCCCAGCTCATCTGGTGTATTTCCTGGCCATTCCAGATGCTCCCACCCAGAAATGTTATCTTCTAGCCACATAGCTTCTAATGATAATGTTTCACTCTGATGTGAACGGGGAACTTGAGCAGAAAAACTTAGCTCTGGAAAGCAGCAACTCCCTAACTTGCTTTTTCTTTCAAAGAATAGATAAATCTAAGCTAAAGAAGTATTTTCACGACAAAATAAGACAAACCATCAGGCTTGCTGAATTGTACACAAACTTTTATGTGGTTCCAGCAGAACTGCAAAAGGATCCTTAGAACAACAGAGTCATCTGTCTGGGGTCATCAGGGAGAATACTGACAGTATCCTCAGCTTTGCCACATAACAGACACAGCATGGTGTACTCCTAGAACAAGATAAAATACGTAAATACCTTGAGGAAAAAGGAGAAGAGTGCTTCTTATTAAGCTTGGTACAGCTGTTTCCTGCAAATGGCCAACAATTTTTTGACAATTGGACCAATTTCTTTAAACTTAGCATAATATCTCAGATGTATTCTCCGCACCCAGAGCTTTGTTTACATTGACTGAATGCAGGCTGACGTTCTCCCTAACACAAGCACAAGAATGTCATCTTGGAAATGGAGGGCTTTGTCCTGGACATGAAAACACACAGACCAGGCTTAGAGCCACCATTTCAAGTACTGAAGTAGCCTGGGTGGGGGTCCCTAGAGACAGACTTGGAGCGAGTACTTTTTAGGATATGTAACACTCATATGCAACAGAAAATGAGTTGAAAACAAAGTGAGGGGGAAATTACCAACCTATAAAACTGTTAGCTATTCTAGAAAAATACACAGCTTTGTCAAATCCACTGTGTCATGCCTCATATTTAGATGTAGGCAGCGGGATGCCTGGAACTCCATCCCTTTAAGGAGTTTTGTATTTCTTGGACTTAACAAACATCTACACTAGTGATAGCCGTAATTTTAATTTAGGTAAAGGTCCTTATGGGAAAGTCCTATCCTAATAGACTACTTAATACAAATGAGAGAGACACGTTTCTTTTAAAGCTTTTGTTGAGAAGTGGGCTAGCTTCTTGAGGAAAACAAAACTCTAGGTGAGATCAATCAGTATTTCAAGAGTTGACAGGTTGCATGCTGTCTTACAACTGATCAGCCATGGTGTCTCTTGGGTCTGCACAGCCAACTGGAGTGGTCACAGAGGTAAACAGTGGCTAGGGCACAACTCAGAACCAGGTAGCTGCCTTTCCAGATCCCAATGAATTCAGGAGAGAAGTTTAGTTGAGACAGTGGAAAGTGTGCTCCTTAAAGACCACACTTAATTCAGTGCATATAGAAGAAATGCATGAAGGCTAGAACTCAAAGAACAAGTATCAGTTTAATCAGTTCGAAATACAACAATCTAGCCTCTTTGAGATCTTGTACTGCTGTTAACTGCTACCCTGCCTTCACCCATCAGACGTTACTGAAGAATAGAAACAAAGTAGAGGAGTCAACAAGAAAAACATGGGAAGCGGGGCAAATGTCAGGTTTCAAACAGTCTAGCAGCGAACACGCTTGTGCCGAGTGCCGACACGCTCTGCAGTTTGCTGGGTGCTCTGGCAGACGTGACAGAGGAAAAGGCTGGACACATGACTCATGGAACGTACTCTAACTTCGGAGAACCAAGGAAGCAAGCCCGGACATAAAAGCAGAAGAGTATTCGATCGGTGAACCGATTATACCTGTAATTGTTACACTGATAAGTGGTTAGAATTCAAATCTCATCCATTATTTGGAACTCAAAAGTAGTTCCCCAGAGACACAATCTTACACAGTTGGTTTGCCAGGCAAGTCCTTTACATCCATATTATACAAGTGCTATAAAATCTAACCCCACACAGCAGTGCTTCTATGGGACAGTGCGCCTAGAATTCTAATTTGAAATGCCAAGAACATGGTAGGATTAGAACATCCTTCTAAAACCTGTCCCAGGGGAGTAAGAATTGTGTTCACTCCTCCTCCTCCTCCAGTCACAGGGACCCACAACGCTCCAGCGGGCCAAGGACTGGGAAGAGGGATGTGGAAGGAACGACGAAGACCGAGAGTGAAGTGGGTGGAGGCATCTTTAGGGAAGAATGGACTTTATTCTGAGGGCTCCTCGGAATTTTCTCTGACTCGATTTGAAAAAGAGAGAGGAAAAAATCCCTGCCATCAAGGCAGTCCCAACACAGTGATCCTACAGGACAGGACAGAACTATCCCACAGCGTTTGAGACTGTGAAACTTTATGGAAGTAGACTGTCTCCTCTCCCTTCCTTAAAGCAGCTGATGGGTTTGAACCATTAACCTTTTGCTTAGCAACCTAACACTTAAACTGCTGTGTCTCCAGGGCTCCTTATTCCCATATTAAATAAAAAACTAAACCAAATTCACTGTCACGGATTCAATTCCAACTCAAAATGACCCTACAGAGCAGAACCGCTTCTGAAGGTATACACTCAATGCCACTGATTGGACGATTCCCACTCATAGCAACCCTAGAGGACAGGGCAGACCCCCCTGTGGGTTTACCAGACTGGAAACGTTTACGAGAGTAGAAAGCCTTGTCTTTCTCTTGAGGAATGGCTAGCGGTTTCAAACTGCTGACTTCATGGTTAGCAGCCCAACACATAACCACTACCCCACCCGGGCTCTACTCCCCTAAGGTATACAAGGCTATATTATCTTTATGGGAGCAAAAAGCTACATCTTTCTCCCACAAGGCAACTGGCGGTCAGAGCTGTGGACTTTGTGTTTAGCAGTCATATGTACAACCAATGCTAGACCACCAGGGCTTCTGCTTATTCTACTGTTGTTAATGTTAGGTGCCGTTGAATTGGTTCTGACTCATAGAACCCTGTGTACAACAGAACACAGCACTGCCTGGTCTTGTGCCATCCTCACAATTGTTATGAGTATCTAATAACTACCTGTCAACATAATATATAATAACTACCCGTCAATTCCAACCCGTCTTCTTCCCTAGCCCTTCAAGGGACACAGAGCAGTCTCACAGACCCCATCTTATTTCTTGAGACAAGCACACAGCCCTTTTAAGGACTACCTCTTAATTGTTTATGATGTGCTTTCCACTTAAACCCTGTACCGCATCTCTACTTCTCTTTAAGCTTTGCACTAGAAAATCTTACCTTGTTTGAAAATGGTATTGTGATGATTCTAAAATCAGAATCCTTGTGTAAACACTGATTTTTTTTTTTTTACAGAGGTAGTGATATGTTTAAGATCTGCTTGAAAAAACCCTGTGGGAATGGTGAGGCATGAATAAGCAAGATTGGTCATGCTTCGTGCTTAGTGAAGCTGGGTAACGGAAGTGAATATACTGCTGTGACTACTTTTGATCCAAAGGAAGTGTGTGCGCCCCTTGTTGAACCAGTACTTCTCCAGGGCAAGATGGGGCTAGAGCTGGTAGAAATGAAGAGGGTACGTTGCAGTAGCTGAGAAGCCAGAGCTCTCCGGTTCATCATGTGGAGGTGGACGTTCAAAGTTGCTAGGCACAATCAGCCAGGGCCGGACAGAGGAAAGGAACTGAGAGAGGGAAGAGGAAATACGGACATCAAGAGCAGGGAGCAATGAGGAGAGAGAATTTAGTTCTGCTCGAAAGAAGCGGCACTGAAGACAAGAATGATTTAAGTCAAGGCAAACGTTTGAAGGGAAACAAAAAGCAAACTCGTATTTGGAGTTATAGGAGAATGAAGGTGCCCTTGGAAGTTTTTTTTAATCAGGGCAATGCCAGGTGGAATATTTTAGGAAGACTAAGTCAATGGCAGCATTGAGAAGCACAGTTTTGGAGCTGTTGCTGTGATACAGACATGGGTGGGGAAAGGCCTGGGCAGATGTGCCAATATTGCTAAAAGAGAAGAAATGAGAGCAGGTGGAGTCTCAGGGCTAGGGAGGGTGAGCTGGGAGATATCTATTTAATAGGCTTCAGCTGACACTGAGTGTGCACATCTGCTCACTAGATGAGAGAGGTACAGAGAAGGTTTGAGACCAGAGACCAAACGTCAGGGAGGAAAGTTAGAACAGGACACCAGAGAAAAAGCAAAGGAACAGTTCACATAGTTTAAAAAGAAATGAGGGCTAGCACGATCCATCTCAACGGAAGACATGCCTCCCAAAGCTGAAGGCTAACAGAGCCAGATCCAGAAGACGTGTAGAGAAGGAGAAGAAGTGAAGTGAGGTTCCAGGATTTGTAGATGAACGGAAACCTATGAGAGAGGACTGGTAGTTATATGACGGTGTCAGTTGGCCCACACTCAGTGACTGGGTGCACGGAGAGATCAAAGTAGGGCACTATTCAAGTAGAGCAGCCAAAGGAAAGCAGGAAATGATTACAAGGAGAACAGGTGACTGAGTGAAATGAAAGGATAGTTGTTTATTTTTAATAAATAAAGAAGAGCTAGGTATAGATCATATTTTAAACAAGTAAATCCTGTGGAGAAAAAAAGATAATGCTAGAAAGACGATAATATAAAAGTGGGAACCCCAAGGAAACGCAGTAGGAGAAACAACAGTAACGAAGAACCAAAAATCTTCCTCTACAACAGGAGGGAAGGAAGAGTCCACAGTCCATCGGAGAGCAGTGGGGAGAAGGGGCAGCTGAGCCAGCCTCGTGAGGACCTTCAAGTGAGGAGCTTGGATACTGTACTGTAGTCAAAGCTGAATTAGGGAAAGACCGAAGGAGTGGTCTGAAAGAATCATGTTAAGAAAACTAATCTGATGAGAGAATATAGACTTGAAGGGTGAAAAGAACGGATGTTGGGAGTGAGGAGACTAAGGAAAGGCCCAGAACAAGTGTCCTTCAAGAGAATTTCACACTTACGAGGCCCTCCCTCCACCTCCAGAGTGATTTCAAGGACAGCTTTGGAAATGCCTGCGCTCAGTCACGATGGAACATCTTCGATCTCATGGCAGTGGTTTGCAATAGCTTTGTGAGGGTATAAACAGGCACTGTCATGCCCAGCTATAGGAGCTTCTGGATAACAACTATATGCACACCTTTCCTGCAGTGAAAGGAGAGAGCTACTCTTTGTACGTCTCTCAGTTGTTCACTCCCTTATTTGGTTACTACTTACTCACTGAGAACTTGACTTTGCCCTAGTTAGCACACAATGGTTTTGTGTTTTTGTTCTGCGGTAGAACCTTTGTACAGTGAGGAGATATGGCCAAGATCCTGTTTAGAAGAGTAACCATAGCATATCTTTCTAGATTCTTGTTAGGTGTTTAGGTGCTTTCTTCCATGCTAAACTAAAAAACTAATTAGAGCGGTTATAATACCATTTTATAAGATTCTGTTATGGAAGAGTGTCATGATTATTTTTTTCCAATTAAAGTACTAGCTATGTTTGAAGGGTTTATAAAGAATCCCTTTGCCTGAGACAGCTATAGCCTAACATTCATCTCCTATGGCTGAATATGTAGTTCACACTAAATAAATAACTCACTTTGAAGACTTATAGAGGCAGAGAGAGACTTATAGAGGCAGAGTTTGTGTTTGTGGGTTCCAGTTTGCCTTTGGCCCCCTTGCACTGTCTAACTCTTCTTCTTGACCATCAAAGTTGTGAACCTTCAGCCTCAGGCCAACACTTAATGCCAACAGGTGTACAATCACATAACTGGCCAGGATAAAAGAGGCACAAAAGTAACCTCATGAGAAATCATAATGTGCTGCCCTCTAAAAAGAGAAATGACAGCACTGAGACCTCAGTTGTAAGACAGGCCAAGATAGCAAAGATCCACACAAATTTAAAGCATACCCCAACTCACAAAGGCAGGTGAGAGGAGTGGTCTTTAATATCCGCTAGTCCTTAATTTATGGAAACTATATGAGGAAGTGAGCTGATAGCAAGGGCTCAAGTAGAAAGAAAATTCTGAAAATGATGATGGCAACATGTACAAATGTGCTCGACACAGTGGATATATGTATGGATTGTGATAAGAACTGTAAGATCCCCCAATAAAATAAAATAAAAAGAAAGAAAAGGAAAAAATTGTATTGTATTGTATTAGAACAGAAGTGCAAAAAGCAAACAAAATCAAATAAAGGACGAAATGAAAAAAGAAAAGAAAGTAACTGAAATGAAAAGGCCAAGAGAGCAGAATGGGGTGGCAGGAGGAGCTTCTACGATGCAATTACCACAGACAGAAGATGAACACCTTTGTTATGTAAAGAACTTGTTTAACAAAACAAAGAAAAGAAAACTACATGTAGGTTTTCTAGGTTACTTTTATTACCACCCCAATCACATACCCATAGTTATACATTTACCTGAAATTCATCCATGATACTGAATGTATACTCATGCCTGGCAACTAAGTGATGACAATTCCTACACAGATCTGCCAAAACAAAGAGAGACTTACAGAATTAAGTCTTGAAAGGTCTCTTAAAACAGTAACATTTCTCTTAGCATGGTAGACCTTAAAAAGAATCTTAACACTATCTGTCATAGTTAACACAGCAGGAAATCCATTATAATATCTATCTTGATAAAAATCCAAATTCTGTCACAGCAATATTACATAACTGTGGGGGATGAGCACTAGGAGCTGAGTATGCATGTAATTCCCATCAGCTGTCTCTTAAGTAATCAGTTAGTGCATATTTGAGTGTATGTTTAAACTAGCTGGACCTATCTAACTGGAAAGCGTTTAGTCTCACAAATGATACAAAGTATTAAACTTTGGTTATCTGCCAAGTCACTTATCTAGCAATACTTAATGATGTGGTGTTAGATAAATGTGATGTTAGCTTAATCTTCTTCTTAAAAACCTATGTAGCAACTAAATATTTCAATATGACATTGAGAATACTTTATGCAACATATCCATTTTCAGGAGCTGATACCAACTCATTAAAAAAAAGAAGAAGAAGCCAACTCACGATCATAGGTCACTATTTCTTCTCCATCTTCCTCTCTGAAGGATTTGTTGGTGATCATCATAAAGTCCCGCTTGCTGCACACTGCGCAGCCTGTAAAGTTCAGCAAGAAAGAGCCATTCTCCAAGCAGGTGCTACCCTGAAATATCAGTCATGGGAATTTTATTTTCTTACATTTGAGAACAACATGTTTAGTTCAAGATCTTTGATAAAAATAATAAAATTTAAAAACTTAAATTGCTAAAGGCAAAAATGGGACCAGAATTTATTTATTTGAAGGCTATCCCAAGTAATTTTGAAATGCTTGACTTTCCTGAAGAAATATTGCCCACATTAAAGAGAAACGTTTGTTCTTTAAGTCTCTGAGGCCTGCATCTGTGTTTGAGAGAGGATACCTGCAAATGGTTATTGAGAAATAATGAAATCACAACAATGTAGACAACGTTAATAGTCAGCGATACTAAGTGGGGTATCATAAAACTAGAATTAAAATTCAATCAAAATGGAAAAAGATGATCTTATACAGTTGCATTCAGTTGTCAGAATAGTTTTCTCTCAAACCTTAATAGCACAAGATAAACAAACTTAAAAAATAAACCTCTTAGCGCTAAACGGGTCAGTTCATTCCTCAAGGATGTGTGATTCAGAAAGAAGGTGCATTCTGTAATTCATCACGTTGACTTGACAGGTGTACAACAGAGAATTTTATTTCATCTCTAAAACAATCAACTATATCGGCGCTGGGTTCAAATGAACCCTTTGCAAAAACTGAACAATAATGAAGAGTACATATTACAAACCAGGTGAAGCCCTGATGGCACAGTGGTCACCAGTTGGTCTTGGATCTGCAAGGCAAGCACTTTGAAACCACAAGCAGCCCCGCTTTCTTCTCTCAGAGAATTGGTCTGAGAGACTCACAGGACCATCGGGGCTATCAGTCAGCATCCACTGACGGCAGTGAGGTTGGTGTTTGGGGCTTATTACGAACCAGAAGTCATTTCATAAATAGTTCAGTCCAACCCCAATTTCTAACCAAGAACTTAAGAAACTTTTAAGTTAACGTAAAGTCATTCAAAATCAAGACATCTCTATTGCAGTTATGTAAGTGAAACTGCATGAATCAAGGTTCCAAGTAATCTCTGACATTCACTGTTTTTTGCTCTTTTTAAATGATCTTTTTGCTTCCATTGTGTATATTGTTCTTTATGTCCCCAGACAACTCGTCAGATGTTCTTCAATTAGTGTTTACTTTGTCAAATTGTTTTCAGATGGTCCCTAAATTCAGATAGAGTATATCCACAGTTGTATTTTGGATCTCATGAATGTTTTAATTTTCATAAAGTTTTCAGTGGCTTATCTCTCATAAGTGGACAGATCTGGAAGCTCTGTTAAAACGTGCTCATCATGGCGGTCCTCCTGGTGTTTGAAACACCATGGCACAGCCTCCAGTACTGCAGCACTACACGACACACTGACAGACAGCACACAAAGCGGTGGATCATGTCATACAATTATTCTCTTTTGTGTTTGGCTTCTTTTGCTCAGCATGCCCTGTGTTAGCCATCTATGCGGTCATACGTATCAGTAGTTTGTTGCTTTTAATTGCCAAGTAATATTTAATTGTGCATATTTCATTGTGCGTTCAAGTAATATTCAATGCACTGTGGTTTATCCGCTCATCAACTGATGGGCATTTGACCTGTTTTCAGCTTTTGCTTCTTAGGAATAAAGCGATTATGAATATTCATGAACAAGTGTATGCGGACATATTTTCATTTTTCTCAGGAGACATGTAGAAGTAGAATGGCTGATCAATATGATATTTAACTTTATAAGAAACTGCCCAATGGTTCTCTCAATGTTTCCATTGTCCAATGTCCGAATTCCAATTGTTCTACTTCCTCATAAATATATTATCTTTTTATTTTACCTAGTCTATTTAGTACATTCCATTAGCCATTAAACATTATTGAACGATAATTAGCATATCATACAGGAAGGGTTGTACAATCATCACCATAATCGAGTGTAGACATTTTCTTCCTTCTCGTATACACTGATGTTGACTCCTCATTTCCCCCACACCCCTTTCTGGGCCCCCAGTTACTACCAATCCAGCTACCGTCTTCATAAAGTCTACCAACCTCGGTTTCCTTATACAGAGAAATATGCAAAACAAGCAACAAACAAGGACCCAGCAACAATGACCATATAAAACAGAGAAAGACCTCAATCAGAAAAAGCAGAGTATTAAAATATTAGAATAAATTCATACTGGGTGCAGAGAGAGATCAAATGACAAGGTGTTACTGTCCAGCCTACGCACAGCTGCTGAAATCTACTTTACCATGCCCTTTGTTTGATATTAGGCTGTTAACATGTCTAATCTCCATGCTTTGGGGACTCACGGGGATTCGATATACGTAGGGACTCTGCAAACAGACTCTGGGCTACCACTATCATCCATACCAAACCAAACTCACTGCCATCCAGTCAATGCTGACTCATAGTGACACCCTGTGGGTGCACCATTCTCTCCTCTGGGCGTGGATCTTATTGCTTACAATCCTTGTATCACACAGGCTAGTGTGCTGCTTCTGTGTAGACTTAGCTGTCTCCTCACTCAGGTAGCTGCTTGTTTTAAGACAAGCCTTTAAGACCTCAGACTTTCACTAGTCATTTTTATTTCTTTGATGACCAATGATGTTGTTAAGGAATTTCATGAAATTTATTGGTCATTCACATATATCTTCTTTTATATCTACTATAATAGTTCTTCAAGTATAGCACCAATGACACACACAACTTTCCTCTAGTTCTTTTTTTTTTTACCCTCTAGTTCTTTGGTGCTTCCTTCCCCGCACTATCATGATCTCAATTCTACCTTACAAATCAGATTAGACCAGAACATGCACACTGCAACAGACAAGAGCCTGCAACACAGGGAATCCAGGAGAGATAAACACCCCCCCTCCCCAGGGCCAACAATGAGAGTAGAGATGTGAGGAGGATTAGGGGAGGGTGGGGGGGAGAATGGGGGAATCAATTACAAGGATCAATCTATAACCTTCTCAGGGGGACAAACAACAGAAAAGTGGGTGAGGGGCGACAGTGGATGATGTAAGATATGAAAATAATAACCTATAACTTATCAAGGGTTCGTGGGGGAGGAGGAAGAAATGGGGAGCTGATATCAGGGGCTCAAGTGGGAAGAGAATGCTTTGAAAATGATAATGGCACCATATGTGTAAACGTGCTTGACACACTGGATCAATGTATAGATTGTGAGAAGAGATGTAAGAGCCGCCAATAAAAGTATTTAATGAAAAACAATAGTTCTTCATATATGTGGATACAAGTCCTTTGTCAGATAAGTGTTAGAAATATTTTCTCCTAGCAGTAGTTTGCTTTTTTATTATGATGAGGGTATCTTTTGACAAGTAAGCAGCTTTCATAAAGTACAACTTCCTTTGTCTTTCATGCTTTGTGTTTCTTGTATCTTAAGATATCTTTTCCCATCTCCCAGGCAATAATTTGAATACATAAACTTTGCCAGCCTACTTTTATGAGATGTAATAAAGTATTGAACATTTAATTTAATGTAAATGTAGCAGTAATTCATACTGAGCTTATTCACTCTAATTGAGTTAATGATGTGTTTCTGCTTTGCTGTTGCATTACTAAAAATTTTAAAGTTGAAACTTGAAATATATAAAAAATAGGTTTAATTTCTAGTTTGGCTTGAAGGATATTCTATTACATTTGTACCTGTTCATTAATTTTAGAAAATGCAACACTAGATCTAGTTCCAACAGGTTTGGTAATTGTTCACTTCAATTTTAAAAAAGTATATATATGAATTAATGTTATATAGTAACATAAATTATATATGTATTAGGTTCAGAAAATTAGTGTTGTTCATGTCCAACTGGATTCACAAGTGAGTTCAAGTCCTCAAGTGTCCCCATTTATTATTTCTAGCCTATCAAGAGCAAACTTATTTAGATAATTTTATATAACTAAGAGATAAACAATTAAACATCACTTACTTATCCTGTACTTGTGGCTTCCTAAGCAGCTAATCCATTAATCTCTTCTGCAAGTTTTTTTAATGTGTTGATATTTGCTGCTTCCATTTTATTAACCTTTTTTTTGCTAACTTGAACACACTGGCTTCTGCTCTCACTGCTCTTACAAATATTTCATGACTTCAAAGAATCTCAGAGGTAGGGGGATCCTGGAGATTTTAAGGGGTCAGTCAATCTCTTGAACAAGAGAACGAATACAGTTCCTTTAAGTTGCCATTCCATTTCTTAATGTCTGTTAGAACACTGTTAATCCGATTCAAATGTACAACCACATAACACCCAACTTTTAATTACTTCTAAATCTACCTTCTGAATTTCCAAAGAAAAGTTTAATTCTTCCTCAGGACAGCCCTTTATTGTCCAACAGAATGGAATCAGAGCAAAGTGCTTCTGAATAAGCACTTTTCCTGGTTTTCCAACCACCATAATTTCCTGACCTACTCCTCTTCTTGTACTGTTGTTTTCATTTCCTAAATTATGTAATCCATCCTTGGAAGCAGTCCTTAATTCTCTTTGGTCCTCCCCACCTCCACCTCCCCGCAAACTACTCTCAATGTTGATGGTGACTGACAAATGTGTGTAGGACATCAGACTGCAAACGTGGACTCTAACTTCACTTCTTAGATGCTTCATGCCCAACCTCAAATAAAACCCTGTAAAAATCACTTGGTAACTTGGACCCAAATTTTTATTCTTTTCACATAGCTCCGCTTTCTGTAATGATGCCTCCAATTTCCCAGCTGCCTAAATTGAAAGCCTTGAGCTCATCTATAGTTCTCCCTTATTGTTTCCCTCCTACATTCAATTGGTGAGTCATTTCAATTCTTTCTTTGAAATGAGGTCGTTACCTGATGCCTATATTACTGTTACCATGGCTCCTAAATGTGCGGTGTGTTCCCAGGCTCCTTTTCACAGTTGCCTTGCCTCTCCCCAGTGCTTACATATAGCATACAAGCTAAATTTCTTAGTTGGATTTTTAAGTCTTTCAATTAGCTCCACTTTCATGACTCCAACCTCATCTCTTTTAAACTTCTCCCTGTGGGTCCCTGAA